TTTTTTTCAACGTTTATTTATTTTTGGGACAGAGAGAGACAGAGCATGAATGGGGGAGGGGCAGAGAGAGAGGGAGACACAGAATCAGAAACAGGCTCCAGGCTCTGAGCCATCAGCCCAGAACCTGACGCGGGGCTCGAACTCACGGACCGCGAGATCGTGACCTGGCTGAAGTCGGACGCTTAACCGACTGCGCCACCCAGGCGCCCCAGAACTGAACTTTAAAGGATGAGTGGGATTGTGTTCCTTGGATGAAGGAGGAAAGGAGAAATGGTGAGGAATGGCAAGAATAAAAAACGTGGAGGCATGAGCAAGTAGCATTAGGCCCAGTAGAAAGTAGGTGCCTTAAGCCATTCAGTACATCTTAAGGGCCTGTTCTTCACGGGTACTGGCCAGGAGGTGGGGGCACAAAGACGACTATGACCGGGTATCTGGTCTTTGGGGGATATTCGGGGACATCAGCTGAGGATGTTACTTATTTATAAGCCTCTGTGTTTTACTGTGGCCCTTCATTGTGGACCTCAGGTAGTGTTAGGGCACAAGTTAGTGAGCCAGCAATGGTTGGAGTGGTGAGAAGGGCTTGGGCTTTGAAGTCTGTCACAGCTGAGACTGGGCTGCCATTGTCTGTCCAGCATCCAACTTCTTCCAGTTACCCTCCTCATTTTCCTTTGGAGACTGCTCTTCCCTCTTCTTGGGATGGTCTGTCAGGTACCCTCTCCTGCTCAGCCACAGGTCAGGCACATGACCCAGGTAGACCAGTCACACTCTCTCCTCAGAGGATTTGGATCTCAGATAGAATAGCTCAAGGAAGAAGTGGTTGGAACTGATTCGTCCTGATGGCAACACATGCAAGAGACTGCCTGTTACTCCTTCCGTTCTGGATCCTTAGGGTCCGTCGTGAGGCTGGGCATTTCACCATTTTTTCCCCCTAATTTTAGAGGATGAGTGAGGGAGAGAAGGGCAGAAGGGGAGAAGGGGAAAGAGAAAGAGAGAGTATATATCTTAAGCAGGCTCCATGCTCAGTGTGGAGCCTGATGTGGGGCTCAATCCCATGACCCTGGGATCACTACCTGAGTCAACATCCAGAGTCGGACACTCAAACAACTGAGCCACCCACCACCCACGCTCCCCTTTTCTGGGGATTCTTAATCCTTCTAGTAAATTCTTACACTTCCAGTAAATTCCTTTAAATTTTTTGTTTTGTTTTAGTAAGTTCCATTTTTGTGTAAATGAGCCAGAATTGGTTTCTCTTCTTTGCAACCAAAGAACCTGAGGTGATGGACATACCTGAGTTTGAATCCTGACTTCCTACTTACTGACTTGGTGGCTCTGACTTTATTACTTTCCGTGGCTGAAAAAATGTAAATAATAATGCCTCCCTAGGATTATCCCAAGAGCTGACTGATGGAAGGTATGTAAGTGCCTTGTAGGTGCCAGGCTCACATTAGATGCTTATTTGTAGCTATTAACATATTCAATCAGGGGTAGGGAAAACCATGACATTTTCTTAGGTCATTCTGTTTGAGGAGTTTTCTCTTTCCTTACATCCAGTGTATTATGAAATAGTCTGAAAGAAATGAATTCTTTTTTTAGTAGTCATTTTATAATGGCATGACGTAGAGCTGGCAGGATCTACGTGTAGAGTTTATCAAGTGAGTAGAAAGTGAGGGAGGGGCACCTGGGTGGCTCAGTCAGTTAAGCGTCCAACTTCAGCTCAGGTCATGATCTCACGCCCTGTGAATTCGAGCCCTGCGTCGGGCTCTGTGCTGACAGCTCAGAGCCCGGAGCCTGCTTCGGATTCTGTGTCTCCCTCTTTCTCTGCCCCAGCCCTGTTCATGCTCTGTCTCTCTCTCTCTGTCAAAAATAAACAAACATTTAAAAAAAAAAGTGGTTTTTTTTACTAAAATTAAAACAAAAAGAAAGTGAGGGAGCGGAGTGTGACCCTTGCCCTGCACCCGTGTCCGTCCTCACTTGGGCGTCTCTCCGCCTGAGCTCCGTGCAGCCCTCGAATGAGGTGGCAGCGTCTCAGCTTCCCTCCCTGGAAGCCAGGATTTCGAGGTAATGTTGATTTCCATGAAAAGTTCACTCAGTTCATTGCTCAGCAACTTGTGTTCCCCTTTTGTAATTGTGTAGCTCTTCTTCTTGACTGTTTAAAAGTGCTCATTAGTCCTCCAGTAGCTATTTGGACTTTCGGGTAGGGTGCACAAGTGTCTGGGGGTGGCTCACTCCCCGCTGTAAGAGCTGCTTATCCAAATAGCGACAGCCCTTGACGTTTCGGTGCCGCGTGCCATCCTTTGTGTCGGCGTCTCCTCGTGGTGGCGAAGCCCTCGGAGGCAAATCACCCCTGACAGTTACAGGTTAATCTACCAGAACGTGGAAGCCAAAAGCTTTCTCTACCTTACACCCATTCTCTCGTTAAGAAGAAGCTCTATTTTCTTTAAACGTGTAGCCCCTCTTTCGGTTCGTGTGTAGCTTTACGTGACCTGCCAGCATAGCCCAGCGGTGTCTGTCCAAAATGGAGCCACTCTGAACAGCTGATGTTCATCAGACCTTTGCTACAGAATGCCATTGTTGTCCTCAGTGACAGTTCTCTGCTGCCGACCTCTTGGGTGGTAAATCACATATTTCCTATGTGAAATCTTAGGAAATGCCTTTGGTCTGATGCATCTACATGGTTTTTAAAACCAAGACATTAAAGATTTGTTTCCTCTTTCAATCTTACTGAGTATTGTTTTTGCCTTGCCTTTTCATTTAAAATTTTTTTTTTCAACGTTTTTATTTATTTTTGGGACAGAGAGAGACAGAGCATGAACGGGGGAGGGGCAGAGAGAGAGGGAGACACAGAATCGGAAACAGGCTCCAGGCTCTGAGCCATCAGCCCAGAGCCTGACGCGGGGCTCGAACTCCGGGACTGCGAGATCGTGACCTGGCTGAAGTCGGACGCTTAACCGACTGCGCCACCCAGGCGCCCCACCTTTTCATTTAAAACTAAGTATTTCCTAAGACACTTGGGGGAAATACTGTGTGTATATATATGTGTGCACATGCACATATACACACATGGGCTGGTGTGTATGTCTTTTTGTGTATATGTGGGAGAGAAAATAGGCCTCTGTGCACTTCACACGTGCAAAGACTACCCGGTGTCCTCAGGCAGTCCAGAAATCAGGTTGATTATATCTCTAGCTTCCTTCATTTTACTTTAGTAAACTTCCTTGCTGACTTAATTCTTCTCTTGAACTACTGTGAATTTGTTATTTTTTTCCATTCCAGACCCTACATAATTGTTAAGAAACAGAAGCCTGCAGTCACAAATAAACATATGGAAGAGCTGGCTCAGGGGTACAGGTAAATGGCCTAAAGCAAACTTTTCAATCTCCTTGATACTCATGCATATATGATTTAATCAGCGGTGGCATTTTTTGATCTGAGCTTTTCAGAAAAGTGTGTTTTCATTTATAGTCTCTTAATTCCTCTCTACTAAATGTTTCAGCCTTTTAAAAACCTATTCCTCTCTATGTGAATTTGCTTAGTCTTTGTAAAATATTAGCAGTTTATATTGCGAGGACCACAGGTTGTTGGTGTAAATTAGCACACTGTGAAGTAACAGGGATATGTTGATTTACACATGGTGGGTCTCTCATCACAGGAGCTTTTTAAAGTCCTAGGAGATATTTTCAGAAGTGGGGGCCAGATTGACAAGTGTCATAGATGTTTTACTGTTTTTATTTCAGTGATTTGTGATCACTGATCCAAGAATAACGTTTCAGGCATCCCAATATAGTGACACTTTCTGGGAGAGAAAGATGCCTTGGGTGTAAATGAAAGCCAGCATCCTCCATTATCGCATGTAAAACACTGCAGTGAAATGCTGTTCAGTCATGTACATGTCACCAATATTTTCCCAGGAATTTTGAAGATTTCTTACACGAGAGTCTGGTTGAATATTTAGATGTGAATGAAGAAAATGATTGTAACATCGCACTCTATGAACATACAATTAATAAGTAAGTAGGATCCATAACAGCCATAATTAAAACCTGTTCTGATTATAGAAAGAGCTTTCTTTTCATTTCATCTTTTCTGTTGTGTTCCCTCTTAGTAGGAACTGTTAGAAGTATACTGTCTGGGGCGCCTGGGTGGCGCAGTCGGTTAAGCGTCCGACTTCAGCCAGGTCACGATCTCGCGGTCCGTGAGTTCGAGCCCCGCGTCAGGTTCTGGGCTGATGGCTCAGAGCCTGGAGCCTGTTTCCGATTCTGTGTCTCCCTCTCTCTCTGCCCCTCCCCAGTTCATGCTCTGTCTCTCTCTGTCCCAAAAATAAACGTTGAAAAAAAAAATTTTTTTTAAATAAAAAAAAAAAAAAAAAGTATACTGTCTTATAATAAAGCCTTACCCATTCTTTATCCCACTGTAAGAATATCACACCAACTGCTAACAGTCTTTAGATTTCATTATCTTTTCCATTCATTTTACACTTAGTGTGTATTTTTTGAAAGGAATTGCTTCTCTGATTTTGATATTTGATCACTGTCAAAATTGAACTAAGAGGTCAGGCTACGTTAAAGATGTATTTCTCTCTTCTAGAGAGGACACCTGAATTCTTGTCAGTGCAGGAATTCCAGATGTTATATGTTCTAAGGATGTCTCTAAACTTATGTGCAATATAAACAGAAAAACGGTACTTTGTTCACAATGTTTCAAAAATAGTGATATTTTTAGAAGCATCTGTTCTCTTTAGAGGACATTAGAGGACATTCATAGAACTTCCTGTCTGATGCCCAGGACTGATGATACTGCTTACCTGAAACTGGAATCTTCTGTTATATTGTTTAATAGGTAGGAGTTTATTACTGGCACCTGATAACTAGTTACGTCTTCAGTCAAGAAAGTACCTTTCTCAGGGCGCCTGGGTGGCGCAGTCGGTTAAGCGTCCGACTTCAGCCAGGTCACGATCTCGCGGTCCGTGAGTTCGAGCCCCGCGTCGGGCTCTGGGCTGATGGCTCGGAGCCTGGAGCCTGTTTCCGATTCTGTGTCTCCCTCTCTCTCTGCCCCTCCCCCGTTCATGTTCTGTCTCTCTCTGTCCCAAAAATAAATAAACGTTGAAAAAAAAAAAATGTTTAAAAAAAAAAAAGAAAGTACTTTTCTGTTTTCTGCCACCAGATGAAATGTACCACTCCGTTTTTGTCTTATTGTGATTTAGTAAATAATGCTTTTCAGTCGAAATCTTTATTCCTTAAAGGCGTGACTGTCTCAAAGTACTATTTTTATAGTGTCCTGTGAAGACGGAGTGGACATAGAGGAGAACTGTTCTGTAGTAACCCCTGTAGAGAACTGTTCTGTAGTAACCCTGTGAATAGCAGCGCGTCCTTGTCGCTCAGCCTCCGCTGCTCTCCTCAACACCCACATCCAGCGCCGTAGCTCATCGTGTCGACCTCTGCCGTATCCCTGCAGTCTGACCTCTTTTCCCCACCTACACCTACCATGCCAGTCCAGGCTGCTGCCATTGCCTGCCCGGGGCCTCGCAAAAGGCTCCTGACTCTTTGGCCCTACTTCCCACACAGTCTGTTATTAATAGATGAAAGTGGTCTTTTCCCGACTCTTCTCAAACCCCCAGCGGCTTTCCCTCTCCCTTGGAAGTCCTTGCAGAGGCTTCAAGTTCCTGCACCATCTGCCTGCCCCACCTGGTGCCTGCAGCATCCTCTCCTACCCCTCCTCCCTCACTCTGTTTAACCACACTGGGCTCTTCACACCTCAGGTGTGCTTCTGCCTCAGTACCTTTGCGCTGGCCGTTCCCTCGCCTGGAACACTCATACCCTGCATGGCTCACTCTTTCAGCTCCCCCAGGTCTTCACTCAGGTGTCACCTTCTCCGTCACCCCATTTAGAATAGAAACCTCTCCTCTGTGCACACCCCTCTTCACTGCTTTATTTTTCTAGTGCTTATTACCTTACAATAAAATCTGTGAAATGTATGTTTTATTGATTTATCTGTGTATTTATCTTTCCACTAGAAGCTTCACAAAGGCAGGGATTTTTCTGTCTTGTTTGCTGTGATAAGGAAATGCAGCCATTAGAATCAGTACCGCCCAATCACCAAGCTGACCCATACATCAAATTCATTTTATTTTAAAAATAGAAAAAAATTGACATCCTGTAATTCATACTTACATTCTTTTTTTTAAATGTAGATCTCTTTTTTAAAGTAAAAAGAATGAATCCCCTTCCTTCCCCATCCCACCAAACTCCAGCCTCCAGATGTAATCAGTGCTAATGGTTTAATGTACTCTTTCAGATTTTTTTCGAAGGGAATACAAAACATACCTACACGGTCACTCACAGTGTATGGGACCAAGGCAGCATAGTTTATGTTTAAACTTGATTTAAACCTACCATCATTACCAACTTCATCATTCTGAACATTTTTTATATTAGCATATGTATATATACCTATATAAATATATTACTTTAGTTTCTTTATATTACATTGACTACACATAAATAGTTTATTTAACCTGTTGTTGAATATTTAGGCTGTTTTCTGACTTTTCTGCTGTTGCAGACGACAGGTTACAGAATCTTGATTTGAGCTAAATTAAAGGCCCTTATGCACATTGACTAGAAAGTCTCCTATTTCCTGTTCAGGACAGAAGATTATGGTGGTTTTAATTTCAAATAATAGTATTCCTTTTTGTTTTATAGAAGTCAAAATCAGAGCATTTGGACTTTGAATAATTATCAGAAGATACATGATCTTAGATGTATTGTTATGAAAAGGTCTTTACCTTTTTCATTTTCAGCTTCAATCTGCATATTTACATGAAGAAATTGGCCCATATTTCAAATTGGCCAATATTTAAACAAAACTGTACATTTAAAATGAACTGTTATTGTAAGCCATAAAATGTCATTATAAGCAGTTTCTCTTTTAAATTAAACAAAACAAAACCTAGAGCCCTTTCCGTCTCTGCCGACAAAGGCCTAACATATCTGAGAGAGTTGGGGTTCTCCCAGGTCATAAGGTCAAAACTGTGTTCTTCAAACCAAGAGCCACATGGAAAGCATTCTCTCCAACCAAGCTAGGAACATAATTCATATGTGTACTGGAGAAAAAAAAAAAAAAACCCATGATGGATGACTGGATAAGTGGGAAATCTTTTGCCATGTGCATTGCAACTAATTTTCCACAATGGGTTGGCCTATCTTGGAAACCACTTCACAGGTACTATAAACCATTGACATTATTTTTTTTTTCTTAGTTTATTTTTTCAGAGAGAGAGCAGGGGAGGGGCAGAGAGAGAAGGAGAGAGTATCCCAAGCAGGCTCCACGCTGTCAGTGCAGAGCACAATGTGGGGCTCAAACTCAGGAACCAGGAGATCATGACCCGAGCTGAAATCAAGAGGCAGATGCTTAACCCACTGAGCCACCCAGGTGCTCCAGCCATTGAAATGACTAAAACTATGTCTTAGAAATGCTTGAGGAAGGAATAGAGGATCAGCAGAGACCACAGACACTGGATGTGATGTCTGTTACTTTCAGCAAGACCCAGAAACAATCTGGCTACCCTTTCCTTTTAAAATACCTGAGCTGCTGTATCATTTAGCCAAAACTGGTGTTTTTGCAAAAATGTGTTACAAAAGTAACGAAGATTCTAACACCTACTAGATAAAGTCTTCCTTTGTGTCCAGCACCTACAGCTCAGCTGTCCAATAAAAAAATGTCATGCAAGCCCATATATCTACGTTTTCCAGTAGCCACTCTGAAAAAGAAACAGACGAAGTTAATCTTAGTAACTGTATTTGACCCAGTGTATCTCAAATGTTGTCATATCAACATGTAGTCAATATAAAAATATTGAGATTTTATGTATTTTTTTCCTTATTATAAGTCTTCAAAATCTGGTGTGCACTTAACACACATCTCAGTTTGAAGGCTAGATGTTCATTGGAAATACCTGATCTGGTTTCATAACATTTACGTTTGAAAAAGTTGACTCACAAGTGTAAGTTGTTACAAACATAACTCAGGTTTTGAACAACTGAACTGAGTTATTTAAATTTGAGTTTTTAAAATTTAAAGTAATTGAAATTAAGTAAAATGAAAAATCCCATTCCTTAGTTATACTAATCTAACTGAACAAGTGCTGAACAGCCACACTTACCTGGTGGTTGTGGTGTTGGTCCCCTTACATCTTATAGTAACTTCTTCAGCAGATCTATTCCTCTTGAAAATGGTCATACAACTTTGTCATTGATACAAGTTGGAAAAGGGCAGAAAAGCAACGCACTCAGCCATGTGGATATTTTTGGTATTGCATTTTGATATGCCCAATATAGTGATTTCTTTATAAGGGTTATTGTTATTAGTATGTAATAATGTTTTATTTTCTTACAGGGGTATTTTGTACTATCTCCCTTCTCTTACATTTCTATAAGTAATAAGTTTCTATTACTGAAAAAAATAATTCATTTTATTATATTTTATTTTTATCAGTTTTACTAGCAGCAAACATTGAGGTTTTATATAAATTACATGTATTTGTGTATAAATTTTTATATTCATATAGACTTATAAATTTTATTATCTAGGTCCTTGGGGGACTTTTGTTTTTATTTGAGAGAGAATGAACGAGCAGGGGAGAGGGGCAGAGGGAAAGAGAGAATCTCAAGCAAGCCCCACGCTCAGTGTAGAGCCCGATGTGGGGCTCGACCCCAGGATCATGACCTAAGCTGAAATCAAGAGTCAGACGCTGAACTGACTAAGCCACCCAGGCACCTCCATTGGGACCTTGATAGTAATATTTTTATACTCTTTAAGAGCTATTTGTTCTAGTCCTTGGTGTCTTAGATGTCTAATTTTTAATTAACAGAGATACCACCCACTTGGAGATTGAGCCCTTCACTCTTCTTGGTGTTTGTGCTGGCCTCATCCCATACCCTCATCATAACCAGTCCCCAAGAAACACATACCAATGTGCCATGGGGAAACAAGCCATGGGTAAGATTTCCTTCTTGAACTTGGTTGCAAATAGTTAGAAAAAAGGCTTAAATCTTTATCCTTACTCCAGTAGTATGAAATGTTTGGTTAAGTCAGACATTGCTAATTCCTGAGTGTTACTGACCTCAGAGGGTTGCCTGTGAACTCTGCAGGGCTTACAGGTGCCCCGCCATGTTTGAAGCATAAACAGAAATAGAGAAAACCTCTCTGAACTTGTTCCTTTGACCAAACAAGGAGATATATAATAGATGTCACAGAATGACAAGGCGGTAAACATGAAGAGAAAAGCTCTATAAAATGTCAGTTGTGAACCAGAAGAAATGGAAGAAAGAGCAGAAAAACACAAGGTGGAGGGAAGAGAGGGAGGAAGAGAGCCGAAGATGCATGGTATATATTAGAATGTGCTAGTGATGGTCAGGGTGACAGTCATTGCACCCATTACATCCTCATCCTTGCTCCCATAGCTTCTGAAACACCAGTTCATGTCATACAAATTTCTGAATTCGTTTTTCTTCTATTTTCTTTCCTCTCTCCTCCATGTATCTATTAATTTATCTGTTCTCCATCCATAACACTTGTTGAACATCATGTGTAGACCAGACAGTGAGTCTGAGACCTGAACATGGAGAGGTGAGACAGAGCCCTGTCCTCAAGGTGTTCACAGTCTAGTAGGAGAGCCCAACAAGAACAACTATAATTCAAGATATGTGATAGGTGCTGGAGTTGACCAACAGCTGGAATCTTAGGGAATGAGAGCTGAAAGGTCACTAGAGGTTAGAGAGTAGGTTGTTTCCGAAGAATAGAACCGAACCGGGTCTTGAAAGACCCTGAGTATTTTTCACAGGCATGAAAATAGAAGCAAGCGTTGCATGGGGCATCTTGGTGCTTTGGTATGGGTGTTTAGCCTAATCTGGGTATGGTAGCATAGTGGGAGGGGCACCACATATTATTAACGATTTTTGGTTTTATCTTGAAGGTGATATGGCGAAGATACCAGGCCAAAACAAGAAAAAGTTTTGCTTATAAACTTTTTCTGAAATGTTTCTTAAAAATCATTTAAAAATGTTTTTTAAATCCTAGTGAGTTTAATAAGTTCTATTTTCATTTATGTCTATGACATCAATATGGTATGTCATTTCTGGTTTAAAGTATGATACAAGGAACTTCAAAAAGAAACTGAAAGGTTTTTGCATTGCCTTTGAGTAACCACCGGAAAGCATTTAGCTTCCCAGTTGCCAGCAATCAGCTGCAACTGACCGTAGCTTGACAATTAAGGAATCCTACATCTCATCCCCGATAGTGTATGTTTCTTTTCGAGTTTTTATATTGCGCTTTGGTTGGCAAAACATGTTGTCCTGCAACCATTTACCTGAATGACGTAATGCCTGGACAGTTCAGAATAATTCCCAGTGGGAAAATCTAAGCCGAGGCTCATCAATTTCGCCTTTCCCATTCATCCTCAGCAGCAGTGTAGGCTGATTTCCCGCTTGTGCTTGTGACTTGCTAACAAGTTGAAATATACAGTACTGAACCTTGTGTGTCATGAAAGGGCTATCACTTCTATTGGGTTTACCAAACCATTTTGTTTCATGATGTGAATCCTGGCTGAAACAATACACCTTTTGTGTAGAACCTTCAGCAGAATTAACGGAAGACTAATCACTTCATCGCTAATGCCACTCTTTGCTTGTGTTTGAACATTGAAACAGAAAGGGCTACGAATCTATCTCCACTTGGTGAATCTTTTTTTTTTTTTAAATAAAGAAGAGACTTGAAGGGAAGAAATAATATTTTTATTTTTGTAACTCATCTCCCTACCAGAAAAAAAAAAAAAAAAGCCTTTATTTCGTGGCCATGAGTATCTGCAACGTTTGGTTAGTTACCACACACAGTTAAGCAGGATCAGTGTGTACAGAAAGCCAATTCAGTGTCTGTAGAGTTCTTTTGTAGTTTTCTGTGTGAAGGTTTTTTTTCTCGTTTTGTTTTGAGTGTCATTTGCAATTCATTGTCTGTGTTTTCTGAGGTTGGTGTATTCCATTAAACACCCTCAGTCCTGCACATTTAGCTCCTGATACAACTTTCGACGCGACAAGGACGCTTAGGGCGACAAAAGCCACTGAATATCTTAAGTAAAAAAAAAAAAAAAAAGCCTTTGTTACTGTTATTATAAAACACCTGACTGGGAAGAAAAGCATCAAGATAAAAGTACATTCAGAGTTGGCACATTACATGGCTACGTTTCTCTTCGGACGCTGAAATAGCTGTAGAAGTACCAACTAGGTCTAGATGAAAACTCCCAAAAGGAACAAGGCCAGCAGAGGGAGAAGACCCACAGCAGAGGCCCAGGTCTGTAAAGCAGACCTAGCACTTTGAGTTGGACTTCTCGGAGTCATTTTAATTCCATGCAGTCTCGGCTGCTGGTAACTAAAAGTCGTGCTATCCCATTTTAAGTAGGAGCCATTGCTGAAGACTGTATACATCTCAGGGATTCTGTGTGAATGTTCTAAAGTATTATTTTAGTGCCGTTCATCCGTTAGTCCATATGGATAGTGGAAGACAGTAGCCCAGAATTAACACACTACATATTCTAGCCAACCTGGAAGATTTGCTGTCTACTTTTCACTACCAACCGTCTGCCCCCAGTGAACAGAGTGAGAAAATGAGAGAAAGTCATTTTTCTGTCACTACCAAGGAGACCAAGATGAGCACAAAGCACAGACTGAAAGCCTCACCTTGTACATAAGAGAAAGCTCACTTTAGTCGTGAAACCCCAGCAGAGGTGTTTCTTAAATCTAAGGTTCTTTAAGTTGTTAATAAAGTACAGGTTTCCACACACCATCTTATCGTGCTACTAAGAAAGACTTGACCGTCCATGAATATGGCTCTGTTGTGACAAGGTTCCGAGCAAGAAGCCAGGTAGACGTGTGTGGAATTGGCGAGGGTGACCTGGGTCACTCAGTGCTCCAAGTGAAGGCTGTGTGTGGGAGCTGCATTGTACGTACTCCCTGGAACCAGACGCCAGTCCACGAGTCACGCTTTCATATCCTGCCCGTTTTATTAATTGGCAATCCGCTAGTGGAACACTTTCTCCTAGTTAGAGGGATCTTTCAGTCACTATCAGCTCAGTTCATGAACATGCATCACACACCTCCCCTAGGCCTGGTCTCTTCCCTCCTCCTTCACCTCCAAATTGCTCGGACTTTTTATCTATTTATTTATTAGCTCAGGAAGTAACATAGCTTCTGTTTTAGTTTTTGTTTTCAGTAGATGCTGTTCCAGAGCAGATAGCTCCCTCTCTTGTATTCCCCACTTCACAGTAGAGTGGGTTGTCCTAGAAGTAGCCTAGAAGATTTTGAGATCTTAGAAATACATAATATACAAAGATCCTCATAAAATTTTGTTTCATTCTACATCTTCCTCTACATTTCATTCAACTTTCGGTTTGATTTTCTTTTTTTAGAATATTTATTCTTTATCAATTTGGTGGGTACAGAATGAAAAGATGTCTTGACCAAATTATCCCTGACAGTTGTATTTAGAATTTCACTGTTCAAAAAAGAATTTATTTAAATCCTTGTCAGTATTTCAAATGTAAGATTGTATGATGTTTCCTGAGACTAGAATGCTAATAATGAATACTTAATGGAGATAAAATTAAACTGTCGTCCGGTTTGTAGGGTTAGCTTTGGAGGCGGAACAGGTGACAATGCAGAGGTCAAGGGATGTATGTTTGTGTTACTGCTAATATCAGTGGTATTGTTAATGAATGATGCCACTTACTGACTACTCAGATGATTTATATGCATTTCTTCTTTTAATCATAATAATAATCCTGTCAGATCTAATACGTACCTTTTGTGTTTCTGACAAGGAAACAGACTCCCACTTTGGTTGAGTAACTTCTAAAAGGTTACGTTATATCTTCTGTGCAATGTTATCTATAAAACTTAACTAAAATTCTTCTCGACTGAAACTATCTTATTTCCTCACTTTTTCCTCTTCACTGCAGACCATGATCAAGGTGGCTTCGCTGCTAGACTGTAGGATATAAGTGCCTTCGAGACAAGATTATGTCTGTGTTATTTATTACTGTATCCTTGGTGCCTAGCATAGTGCCAGCTCAGTAGGTATAGTAAGATACACAATCTGAGGCAGGCTGCAGGCTCTGAGCTGTCAGCATAGAGCCCAACGTGGGGCTCAAACACACAAGCCCTGAGATCATGACCTGAGCCAAAGCTGGACACTTAACTGACTGAGCCACCCAGGCGTCCCAAAAGTCTTCATGACTTTGAATGACCTAAGATTTCTTAGAATTCAAAAAGTGCAGGCTGTGAAGAAGAAAAAAATTAATCATTTGGACTTTCTCAAAATTAAACTTCTGCTCTATGAAAGATCTTAATCCACAGAATGGGAGCAAGTATTTGCAACATAGGTATATAACATCAGATAAAGGATTTGTATCCAGTATATATAAAGAACTCTTCAGTGACAAGACAGCTCAGTTAAAAGATGGCAAAAACAAAAACCAGACACTTCACAAAGGGTAATAGTAATAGGAATGACCAGTAAGTTCATGAAAGTATATTCGTTGTTACTAGTCATCAGATAAATGTAAATTAAAACTGAGACACCACAACATGCTTATTAGCACAACTAACATGGGAAAGACATATTAAGTGTCAGGATGCAGAGCAGCTAAGAAGCACATACAGTGTTGGTGTGAACATAAATGGTATAACACTTTGGGAAATTATTAAGTAGTTTTTTAGGTTAACCTTACCAAATCCCACTGCTCTGTATTTACCCAAGAGAAGTGAACAAAGTCTTGTGCATGAATGTTAATAGCAGCTTTATTCACAAGTGCCCCAAACTGGAAACAAGGCCAGTGTCCATCAGCAGGTGAATGGGTAAATAGACTGTTTATACGTGCAGCAGAATACTTCTCAGCAATAATGAAGAGTGAATATGATACAGCCACATGGATGGACCTTGGAGTCATTATGCCAAGTGAAAGCAGCAGCAAAAGAGTGTCCCTGCTGCATGATTCCCTTTATATAACATTCTAGAAAGTGCGAGCTGTAATGATAAACAGCAGTGGTTGCCTGGGGTCACGGATAGGGAGGGATCTTTTTTGGGAATTTCGGAAGGGTTCTGGATCCTGATTGTTGTGGTGATTTTACAGAGGCATAAATCTGTCAGAACTCCTCAATACTTACACTTTAAATGATAAAGTTTGTTGGTTTTAATAATGTTCTCAAATAAAAAGAAACTGGACAAAGGAAGACAGAAAACATAAATTCATTAAACTTCATTTTATGTTTTTCAGTATGCATTTCCTTATATTCTGCTAAGCTACATGTATCTTTACCAACCTTTTTTCATCCTACCTTAAAACATGTCCTCACTGTTTTAACCTACATCTACATACTTTGCTGTGCCAACCTGCAACTTAGGAAAGTTATGGTCAAGAAAATGCGATTTTGTAAGAAAGATTATGTCCTGGGTAATGAGGAAATGAGACTGTAGTTAGGGCAAAATGGAGCAGTGGGAGGGAGAACCCAGCTTCTGGTCTCCTTGCATTAGTTACTACGTAGACGCAATGCCCTTTTTAAGGAAGCTGAAAACAGTAAGAGGCATCCTATTTTGAGCCTGTGCTTCACCAGACCAGTCTTTTAATTTCTGCATGACATTTTCTCAAAAAGCTTACTTATTGGCAAAATAGTCATCAGGCTTTTTATAAAAATTATAGTGTGTGATGGCATTTTGAAGTTTTATGATAGAGAAGTCATAGTTTATAAATCCTGTTTTAACCAACACACCCATCAGTGCTGTTAAAAATGTATATACACATGTGCTCCTACAAATTCTTCAAAAAGCCTTTCAGGAGAATTTCTAATGAGATCATAACCACCAGACATATGCTAAACCATTTTGCTGTTCATCCATTCAGTGGTCAGGTCAGTTGTAATGCCTGAGAATTATGTTCTGGGCCTGGTAGCACAATTTATAGCGGGATCTCATCTCTTTCACCATTGTTTGGGGGTGCAGCCATCAATGCCTTCCCTGCTGCATAATAATGCTTGTCTCAGGTTTCAGAAGACGGGTTTGGCAGCCTGGTGGGACATTGCCTGAACCCTTGTCTCAAGCTGGGTGGAGGATACAATTGGAGCTGAAATCTCAACATAAATTTTAAACGATTTCATGTAAAAGGACAAACTTATTGTCAGTGAACTTTACCACGATCCAGGCAACAGTGATTTTATTTCTGAAACAGTGATCCATTACCAGGTATCCTGCCCAGTTTATTAGTTGGCACTAAAATAACATAAATTAATTGGCAGTTTAGTGGAAACTCAACAAAAAGTTCATGAGATTCAGTTTAACTATTTTTTTCAGCTGAATCTTGATAAGTTTTCTAGAGATTTAAGTGCAAATATTTATTATAAAAATATGCAATTCAGTTTTGTTTACTGACACTTACTGAGCCTCTATAGTGAGCCCTGAAGGTTTCATGATTTCTTTCAATAGTAATCGTCAAGGAGTCCCATATCATTTTTGCTGCGTGAATATGTTATTTTCATCCCTGAATTGAAATCACCATTGATTTCATGACATGAGTACAGAGGAAAAGGTGAAGGAAATAATGAGTTTTGATATCTGCTCACCTTAGAGCTTAACTCCATTAAATGGCACATGGGCATCTTGGGACATGTGGGTATTGAGGATGTGTCCCTATGCAAGCATGTGAAAGAGAAAAAGTGACTTAAGCTACCTTCTTAGCCACTCAAGGGAAAAGAAGAGACACCTGGGAGAAGTTAAAGAGGCTCAGTAACCCACACATAAGTTCAGGAGTAGGGCAAGTGTGAGTCCCCATTTTAAGGTCTCTGAGTAGGAGCAACTATGTATTCACAAGACCATGAGAGTGAAACCTTTTTTTGGTGCAAGTCTCTGAACCTTAGTGAGCCCCTACGGGGGAAAGGGACAAAGAATAACATCCTAATTTCACTTCCAGTTGACAGGAACAACTTCCAAGGTCCCAACAGGTGGAAAGTCTGATTGCTAAGGACAGAAAAGCCTGTACCTGATTGGACAGGACCTTGGATTTCTTAGAGGAAGGGGCCACCATGCCTTTCCCCGTTTTATCTCCCCTGTTGGGTATAGAGTAGTTGTGTGTTCATTGCTTAGTAAATGAAGAGTTAAACAAATGGGTAAATCCACTCTTCTCTGCTTTCACTTTCCTCCTTTTCGTTCCTTCCTTTCTTTTCCTCCGTTTTCTCTTTTCTTTTTCATTTAGAACTTTTCTAATGGTTGATTAATTTTTATGAAACGTATCCTTACCTGTCAGCACTCGGCAGTGGTTTCTAATTACCTTCTCATCCCAGTAGCTGGAACTGTATCCATAACATGCTAGAACTGAGTTTAAGAAATGTGGATTTACCTATGCAATTATGAAATGTGGATTACCTGTGAAACCAGTAGAGACTGGTTCCTCAATGGGGTTAGGTTGGTATACTTTGGGTGTGATTTTTCCTCTTTGTAGGACTTTTTTTTTTTTTTTTTTAGATTTGTTTATTTTTGAAGTGGCAGTTGGGGGGAGTGGGGGCGGAGAACAGAAGATCTGAAGTGGGCTCCCCACTAACAGCAGTGAGCCGGATGGAGGGCTCGAACCCACGAACCATAAGATCACAACCCGAGCTGAAGTCAGATGTTCAGTAAACTGAGCCACCCAGGCACCCGTGCAAATGTTTCCTCTTTTATAGGACTTTTAACCTTATGGAGAAAAATTGCTTTTAAAAGTCGTTAGCCACTATGAGGGTATTATTGCTTTTGAAATGTTTAACCTGAAGGTTTTCTTCATTTTAGTGAAATTAATACCTTTTTTTAATCTCGGTACACATGGCTACCTAATTATTTTACATAATAGAATGTGCACTTTGTTTTGTCCAATATCAATGAAGGTACCATTGGATACAACCAGCGGAACAGAATCGATACTCTCATGTATCTGCTAGCATATCCACAAAAACCCATGGTTAAAACAAAGACCATTGAGTTGATAGAATTTGAGAAACTGCCAGCTGGACAGAATGCAACAGTTGCCGTGATGAGTTACAGCGGCTATGATATTGAAGATGCCCTCGTTTTAAACAAGGCTTCCTTGGACAGAGGTAAGTGGGTCTACAGAGCTCACGGTGTGCAGAATTAGGTATAAAAAGGATAATCAGCTAAAAGTCACCTGGTGTCAAAATGTTAATGTCAGTTTCAAGTGATTTGAATTTTGTAACATACAAACAGGAGGTGGTTAGGTTTCAGTGTTGACTTTTTTAATGAATATTACATAGAGGTAATTTGTTAAATGTATTATTAAGTGTATCTTTGTTGTTGTTATTTTACTTTATTGGAGACTTGAGAGAGTTCCTCAACAGAAAACATGCAAGAATTTGTTTATTTCCTAGCAAGAATTATAATAAATGAAAAATGGTTTTTGGATATATCTAGTTAGTCAACAACAAACTGAGAAGGCCACAGCAATATTTCTGTGTTAAAGGGTTTTTTTAATTGTATGTCTCAACCCCATAATGTTAGACCTTTTTGTTAGCAAAATGCTAAAAGTTAAAAATACCCATGCACAGACCCCCGACCTACCAGTTCCTGTGCAATCTTTTTGTCAGTTTTCTGACAGTTTACTTTTGCAAGTCACTGCTCATGGTTTGTTAGCTGTCACCTGACCTGAAGTCTGACTCCTCTCTTCATAATCTCTCTCTTTTTCCTCCCTGGCATACTCACTCTGCCTTCCCCTTTACTCTCTGTAGTTGCTAGGCAGCCGTAATAGCACTCCTAGACATGTGTCTTTGGCATTAATGTTGGCTGCACTTAATTTATGCCTCTTTTTTTTCCTCCAGATGACAACAGCCATGCTTTAAAACTAGATGTTTTCCTTTCTGATTAACTGGTAACGTTTATGTGGAAATCTGAAGACTTTGTGATATCTGTCAGAAACTCTGCAACACCATTTAATGATCTGAGTTTACTGTCCTCTAGCTTTTAAGCTATCACCTGTAAATAAAATGTCCATTCACACTTGGAGGAAAACGCTTCTTGATTTCAGGCAGCTCAGATTCCCACTGCACTCTAACACGTTGCAGTTAATGGCCAGTGTACGGAATTTCAAGATCATGTAATGTTTCCAAAGCAGCTGGCTCGCTGAGCGGAGTTTATTATGGCCACACACAATTTACCAGGAGCCATAATGACTGAGACCTTTCTCGGAGACATACTAACATCCTCATCTCCTGTCCAGATGTCGAAATTTGTTACTTCATCGCACGGTCGCCTTCATATTTTAAAAGTTACATTCGAGCACGGAGGCTTTATTTAGAAACCCACTTTTTCCTGATTTTCTAAACCCACGTTCTTAGATTTCTTATTAAGAGTTCTGCCTTTGGTGGAGAATCGTAAGTGAAGGATTTTACAGCCATGCATTTATGTCATCAGTAATAGCTGACATTTAATCCTGAGGTGTCTCCCTATTTAAGTAAACTCTGACATGGCTCAGTATATGCTAGGGCGATTAGAGAGAGAATGCAGTTTAGAATAACTGCTTGGCCAAAGGGAGAAAAGAAAAGAAATGCAGTCATTCACCCAAAGAATCTTGGGTGACTCCACAGCAGATGGGTCTTCTTGAGGGATTCAGTGCGGGAAGTTTTTCCTCCACCTAAAGGTTTCCTTCTGTTCCTTTTGCTTATCTTTCATAATGCTTATTTAGATTGTTGGTTGGTGTCAGGACTTTTCCCTCATTCACTAGATAAATGTGATCCAAAAGTATAATCAGAGTAAACTCTCATCTTCGGGGCACAGGCAAATGATTTCTCCTGTTAAAATTATTTGACTGCAGCTTCTTTTCATTTTCTCTCCTCTCTGGAGAAAAATTAATCTTTTTGTGGCTTTGTTTGGGACTTCCTCTGAGTGCCAAAATTGGAGAAAGGAAAACTTTTCAGAGAAGGTTAGCAGAAGTTATGCACCAGAAGGGTGTGTGGGAAGAATCTTGGTTGATCAGTAGACATGGTGTGTTTCCACACTGCCACCCAGCTGGCTGGGCGACCTAGGCCACGTGACTTCCCTGGACCTCATTTTGTAGCACTTGTAACACTGTACATAGAGCAGTTAAGCTAGGTGGTCTCTGGGGCCCTTTCCGGTTCCCATATTCTGTGGCTCTGTGCCCTGAAAGAAGCACAGTGATGTTCAAGTTTCTCTCACCTTTCTGCATCATGACAGGATGTATTCCATACTGGAACATGGTTGTAGAGATTCCAGTGTTTATGTGGATAGTAGGTGTTGGAGAGTTTCTGAGCCAGTTCTTTGGATTATCAGGTTGCTATTTGGCCCATCCCAGATGACCCAAATGTAGAGCAAGTTGTGGGTCATTCAGTAACACAAATACATGTTTTCTCATAGTCGTGTTGGTGGTTCTGACCCCCAGTTTGGTTTCATTTTAGGCTTTGGGCGCTGCCTTGTATATAAAAATGCTAAATGTACATTGAAGCGCTATACCAATCAGACTTTTGATAAAGTGATGGGGCCGATGTTGGACGCTGCTACGAGGAAACCCATCTGGCGACACGAAATTTTAGATGCGGATGGTATCTGTTCTCCAGGTAAGAGCCCTTTTTAAAAACAATTTAAATGTATACTCTTTGCAACATGAAAGTTATGCATCAGTATTTCTGAACATTTGGTAACAGGGAAGAAAAAAATAACAACTTACAAAACCACTTTCCTAACTCAAACAGCGTGGTCATTTTTGATGAATTTCCCTTCTAGTCTATTTTTCTACACATGTATTTTTACATAGTAGTAGTTCTATTCCAGTTATACTTTTCTACTTAAAATTTTCAAGCACAGAAAAGCCACTTTAAGGAAATGTTTAAAACAAAATGCTTTAAGAGTGTAAATGCCATTTCCCTGCATCTACACTGGCGTTTTTCATCATTTGTGCATCTAACATGCAGACTGATTTGAGACTCTTCTTCTCCCAAAAGTGTGACTCCGTGATAATTACAAACTCGCAGTGAATTTTGTTGATGCCACCGCAGCCCCTGCCCTTGAGTCTTACAGTCCAGCGTGGGAGGCTGACAGTGACCAGAGGATCACATGTAAACATATGTCACGTCATAGCCAGGCTAAGGAACCCTATAAAGATCTGTGAGGGCATTTAATAGCAAGAGGATCTGACCTAGGCAGGAAGTGCAGGCTCGCCTTCCCTAACGAAGGGCGCTGAGATCTGGAGGATGTGTGCAGTTAACTAGTAAGTAGGGGAGCGGAGTGTGTCCTGAGCTGTGGTGTCCTGTAGCTATAGATGGTTAAAGGTTCTGAAAGGCCGGTGCGGCTCAAACAGGGAGAGGACAGGGAAGGGCAGTAAACAAGAATCTAGAGAGAGGAAGAGCAGGAGGTGGGGCAGGGCCCAGACCCAGGCCTTGCATCATGATGCTGTTTTCATCACGATCCTAAAAGCAACACTACAGTCAGGTACGCATTTTGAAATGATCATTGTGACCACAGCGTGGAGAAAAGAATAGAAAGGGGCCAAAACAGAGGGAGACCCAGCGAGAGCTCTGGCAGCAGAGCAGGAGAGTGGGGCCACAGCGAGGCGGAAAGATGCGCTGTGGTGGGGACATTGCTGGGAGGGCAGAGCCACGTGATTTGTCACGATGGTGCCTGGGTGGTGGGTACTTGCATCTGCTGTGGTGCCCACAGCCGCGTGGCGCACGGCTTCCTCTCCTCCTGGCTGCGTTTCTTTCTCGGAGAATTTTGCTCACTGTTAACCTGGGTTTTGTGGCAGAGAGCTAGCACCGTGACAATACTATAGAGTAGTCGGCCTTGGAGCTTACCAGGAAAAGATGCAAAGAAAGGTGAGAATAGCAGGAAAATCAAAGAAGTATTTTGATTGCCTCGTCGTCCAAGTTGAGTTGGCAATGAGTGAGTACTAGGTGAAATAACTTAATGAAAGTAAGTGGCCCAGACTTGTTCTGACACCCCAAGATATATAAGATTGCCATTTATTGACATGAAGTTTCTCCTGTTAGTTTGGTTCTCTAAACCAGTTTCTTGATTTTTTTACACACTGATTTTTCAAATGGGCTGCCACAATTACTGACGAGCCCTGTTGAACTCTGGCTCATACCATATCGACCTTTTCCTTCCTTGTCTGCATTTCATGGACCAATCTAATCACCTAGTTCCATGCCCCAATAATGTGTGCATTCCACAGAGGTGGTAGCGATTGGACTGTAACACCCTTGTCTTTTTCTTAGGTGAGAAGGTAGAAAACAAACAAGTGCTTGTCAATAAGTCCATGCCCACAGTAACTCAGATTCCTCTGGAAGGAAGTAATGTTCCACAGCAGCCACAGTATAAGGATGTGCCCATCACGTATGTATTGGTTTCACCTTGGAAATACCTAGAAAGATTCAAAAAAAAAAAAGAGAGAGAAAGGCTAGGGGAAATTAGAAGTTAGCTCTTGGAGGGTTGGAGAATAGAAATTACAATTGGGGGTAATAATAGTTGTCATGAAGACAGCGTGGTGTGGAAGATAAAACCAAGCTGTGGAATCATGTAGGCCTCCCACCCTGGGTTTGAGTTGTGGGCCAAATAGGCAGGACTTCCAGGTAGAGGGAACAGTGAGGTGAAGGCCCCTTGGGCAAAAAAGCACCCAGATTTAGAGGACCAGTGTAGCCTGCTGGGGCTAGGTTGTACGGTACTTGGGAATTCCTTCGGTAGAGAGTGATAGGATCAGATGTGTGTTAAATAAGTAAATTAAACACACTGGCCACAGTGTGGCATCACTACTGCACGGGACTATAGCTGGGTTCAGTACTGGTCATGTGGTATGTTACCTTATGTGGATGAAGCACTCACACCTTGGCCTCAGGTTTTTCATCTGTGCAATGAAAGAGTTAACACTCATTAATCTCCAGATGTCTCAAATACAGTGAAATTGGAGACTTCATGAGATGAGCCATGGGCCAGTGATAGCAACCACACTCTGACATAAAAACAAAACCGGAAGAAGTAACAAGATGCTTAGTCTAGCCGCGGTGATTGGAGTTAATTGAACTCTTGAGGTGGGGGTCTGGGGTGACACGGGAGAGCTGGGTTCCTGGGCCCTGGAAGGTAGTTCAGCAGACCCGTTCTGACCCACAGCTGAGCCCTGCTCCCGGCCAGTCACTGTGCCACTTGTATTGGAAACACAGCTGAAGTGAACCACGACCCTTCCCTGAAAGTAACCACACATAGTTAGCCGAGGCCTGCACAAAAAAAGAAGTCCAGTGAATATCCTGATCATAGTGACTTCATTGAGAGCTTTCTCTGTACCGGTTATGGTTGTGGGCAGTTTACCTGTGTTAGTTCACTTGTTCTGGCCACCATTCCATGAACCAAGTGCTCCTAATAGCCTTGTTCAAAAGACACAGAAACTGAGGCACAGAGAGGTAAAGTAATTTACCAAGGTCACACAGCTGCAAGCAGCAGAGTCAACATTTGAACTCCCACAGTTTGGCTTCAGAGCCCAACTCCTGCCCTCTGTGCTAAATGCTGCGGTACTGTGTGTGCCGTGGATTTGTCTGTGGGGTGAGTGGGAGTGCAGAGGAGAAACTGGGCTCTCCACTTAGGGGAGGGGTGAGGGCCCTTGCCCCGAATACTACAAAACAAAAGGCTGTTTTAGGGTGAGAAAGGTGGTTATGCTAGCTGGTTTTCATCCTGTCCTGGAGGAGGAGATCTTTTTTCTTCTTCAGAACTCGCGTCCCCTCCTCCTGGGTTCTGCACTTAATCTAGTCTTTTAGGGACCTGACTCTCTCATTTTCTCTTCTGTTCTTCCATGTCTTCAGCCAGCTTTCTGTCGATTCCTTCCCCACAGGCTAGAAAGTGTGCTCCCATATTTCTTATCTTGAAAAGAAAACGAAACCTTCCTCAGGGCTCTGCGATCCTTCCAGGCTGCCAAGCATCCTGTTTCTTTGTCTGCCATGAGGGAGTTAGCGTGGGAATGGTGTGTGCGGTGTGGGTTAAGTTGCCTTACGCCTGCCTCTCACAGTGTTTCCTAAAGGTTAGCCATCTCAGACAAAGACTGGAAAAGGGAAACGGTAACCTTTGGACTTAATGTTGAAAAATGAAAGGCACGTTTCAGAGTCCAGAATGGCAGGGTCAAAACATTCTGTGGTTGATCTTAAGTAAAATACGGTCTGTGGGTGATAGGTTCACAAAGGGCAGTTTGAAAACTCTGTTTTAGTGACTTGCTGTTAATATTAGCTACAAAGGGGCTACGGATTCATATATCGAAAAAGTGATGATCTCTTCAAATGCCGAAGATGCTTTTCTGATCAAAATGCTGCTGAGGCAGACGAGGCGTCCGGAGATTGGAGACAAGTTCAGCAGCCGCCACGGGCAAAAAGGTAAATTGTGTCGCTCCCTGATTTGTTTACAAAACTGAAAATAGTATTTGTTAACCACGTATATAAGAAATGTGTAACTTTCCCCTGTTAAAAAAAATATACAGTGTGTTGGAAAAATCATTACATTGTTAGCCAGATTTATGCTGGTTTTATTTCTTAGACTTTGCTGTTTTTACTTTAATAGCATTGAAAAATGTACCATAAGGTTGCTTCTCTTTGCCATTTATTTCATTTTTTTGCAGCTGCTCCACCCAAAATTATAATTACGAATACTCTCTAGACAACGTACCTCCTAAGATACAGGTAGACGTTCAGAAAATAAATAGCAGCACCTCTTTTTTGTGGAAGGTGCGTATGTGTTCCGCTGTCTGTCGGGTCCTAGTACCGTAGGGCGTCAGCACGAGCAGACCGCTCAGAATGGTCTGCGCCTGTGTTTAACGGTGAGCAGCCTGTGTGAGGTTCCCAGCTGGGGGGCTGTGGAGCTGAATTAGAACGCGGGTGTCCGGATCCCAGCGCGGCGCCCTCCCCGTCTGCTGCAGGTGGCCCCTCGCCTAGATATGTTTCTCCATGTGGTCCCGCTGGTGAGCCCTGCTCTTCCTGGGAGGTTACTGCTGAGTCTTCACGCGGTTGTGGCTCGGCAGTGTCTTGTTTTCTTGTTTTCTTGTTTTCGTATCTTCAAGAAACAGAGCACTGTAACTACTGATTAACTTGCTTTCTGTAGGCTCCCTCTTAGGTATGCATACCCGCATACCCTTGGCGGTTCAAAGGGGAACGTTTGCCCTGGGGGTCAAATTTGGGCCGCGTCTGCCACTTAACTAGTTGCAGAGCAGCAGCAGCAGCTTACACTTTTGTGGCACTAACTGTGTGCCCAGCAGCGTTCTCAGCACTTCACACACACCGACTCGCTGGCTTCTCTCTCACACAGTCCTGAGAGGCCGCTGCTGTTTTTGTAGATGAGGAAACAGAGGCACAGTGACCTGAGTAGCTTGCCTAGTGTCCCCAGTTGGTGGCGGAGTTGGTTTTCGAACCCTGGCAGTCTGGCTCCAGAGTCCGTGCTCCTGACTGACATCCCTGCTGTCCTGAGCGTTAAGCACTTGGCATAGTGCCTGGCACACGGTGGGTGCTCAGGAAGAGACGGCAGTGACCACTGACATTGGCTCTTTTGCATTCTGCTCTCCAGCTTTGTGTCTCCTCTTTACTCCTAAATTCCTAGTGCCATGTCCTCGTGGTTTTAACTGATGGGCTTAAAGATAATGGCATATTCTCGCTGATCTCAACTTTTATTTGCCACACAAGTATATAAAATATTACAATTCATTTACTCAAATGAATCCAGCCATAGTTGTCATTCCTTCCATCAGTGAAACTGTTCCAGACTAACACTGTTTTTCAGTTGACAGACACGAGATTGTTTTAGGCTGTCAGTGTTTTGTTTAAAAAAAAAAAAAAAAAAAAGATTTTATCCATGTGAATTTGACACTTCTAATTCATACGGTTCCCTAAAATGCTAACTCTTAATACCTTTCGAGTGTTTGTAAACACTTCTTGAGATTCTAGTGTTTTCCAGTAATTAGCAGTGAAAATCAACTTCTCTGTATTGAAACTATTTCTCCCTTTCTCTTGGTCTAGGCAATTGCTGAGATACACTACTAAGTCATTCTGGAGTAACCATAATCTTATTTGTAGCCTCTATTTTTCTTGACCTGTTCCCTGGACTGGGACAAAGCTTGAAACTCTTCTTATAAAATATTGGCACTGGACACTTTATAAGAATGCACACTGTAAGAGAAGGTCTCCATTTTCTGAATCAGTTTACAAACTCCAAATATCCCAAATCCTCATGTTTTATTCCACCAGAGTGTTGTGCAAAGAGAGGAAGGCTGGCAAACATTTCAGTGATTATCCACTGTGTTCTAACTCCACTAAACTTCTTGAGGACAGGGATCACATTCTTAAATTCTTATAAAGCCTGATAGAGCCACTCTCATGGAGGGTACCTGATAGGTGTGTGGTAATGGTTAAATATGTGAATGAATTGAAATCGGGAAATGAAAAGGGACAGATTCTGCACTCTTGATGGATTGATTTTACTCAGTTTTTAATCTATACATAGTATGTGAGTATGTGTGTGTATAGTATAGACAAAGCAGTACTTTTGAAAATGAGAAACACACTTGATTAGTAAGCTCCTATAAATACAGACCTCTACAGGTGCAAGTAATGGCAGTGAGTCTTTCTGCTGTAACATTTTTTCAAACTAATAATATGATGGGGATAATGTTCATTGACAGAAGTGGTTTCCAGCCTGAAGTGATGTGAAACTGCAGATTTTGGAGATCGGTTGAACCTTCCTGGGGCTTGACTTGTACATGTCTATGAAATGGGAAGAAGCCCTCCTGGGGTTAGGTGACCTTTCACTTGCAGTGAGGAGTTTATCTTGCTAGTATTCTTTTCCAGATGGCTTTTAATCCAAGGATGAAAACCTTCTGATTAGCCTAGATTCCCTTGATACTCCCTTGTCTTACAGCTTCATCAGATTTATTGAAAAGATTGGGGGGAAATGGACAAACAAAACATAGGTAGTTTAAGCCTTAAGAGAGTAGTGGAGGGAATGATGTAGAACGCTTAACATAATTTTTGTTTCTTTTAAGTGTAGTTTTTTAATCAAGTAATAAATGCATGTGGTTTAAAAGATCAAATAGTACAAAAAAGGGGGTTTTGAACTGAAAAACATCTGTCCCTGCCTTTTCTCCAATTCTGCTTCCCAGAAGAGATTTCTTCTCATTTTTATTCTTCTATTTTGAAATCATATTTTTAAATATTATTTATTTATTTATTTATTTATTTATTTATTTATTTATTTATTTTGAGAGAGAGAGAGTGGGGGTGGCACAGAGAGAGAGAGAGAGAGAGTGAGAGAATCCCGATCCGGACCCAATACGGGGCTTGAACCCACGAATCATGAGATCATGACCTGAGCTGAAATTGGATGCTTAACCGACTGAGCCACCCAGGCGCTCCTCGAAATAACATTTTTAAACAGCTATTTATGTTATTCATCCATGTTTGCTATTACCCATTGATTTTCTGTTATGATGGATAGGAGGACCTGGAATTTGGCTGTCTTTCCTTCTCACTCCCCACCTCCATTCCCTGCACAGGTTATCGTAATGTTAGGTTACTTATTTCGATTGTATTATTACAACTATATAAATGTTGTTCACCCACAAACCAAGTAGTTGAGGGCATTTTCTTTATGGTCTAACTTTATTTTTTCAGAAATTAACAATCTTTTTCTATTTTGCTTGATTTTCTGATTTCTCTTTCCATTCTTCTATACCATCAATAGTCTGTCAACACAATTTTCCACACGATCAGTTGTCTGTTAGGACCATTTTTCTCCCCAGAAGACCTTCTCTGTAGCACCCCCATTCTTCCTGCTCCAATCTGTGGTGGTTTTCCTCTGAGCCCCAGCTTCCTAGCCAGTGTCTTAAGAACTGATCGCCACAGGTCACAGGAGTTCTGGGCAGAACCTGGCTCAGGGCCGCGAGCAGCCTCATCTTCTGTGCCCCAGAAATGTTTTCAAGAAAGGGTAGGAAGCACTCTGTGCTGATTTGCTTTAATCCCATATCACAGACCAAGGACTTGCACAACAGAAAATGTATTGCCTCACAGTTCTGGAAGCTGAAGTCCAAGGTCAGTGTATTGGCAGGTTTGGTTTCTCCTGAGACCCCTTTCTGTGGCTTGCAGGTGGCCACTTTGTCCTGTGTCCTCACATGGCCTTTTCTCTGTGCACCTACCTCCTCATGTCTCTCTCTCTTCTTAAAAGGACACCAGCCATATTGGATGAGGGTCCACCCCATGACCTTATTTAGCCTTAATTACCTCTGTAAAGACCCTGTCTCTAAACAGGATCACATTCTGAGGTATCCTGGGTGATCTAGGCATGGGGGACACAGTCCATAACACACTCTAGTGGCAGTCATTTGTGAAATTCCCATCTGAGCCCCCTGTTTCTTGGCTCATCCCATGTCATCCCACCACCACCTGCCCCCACCACAGTGGAATAGTCTGTTCATTAAATTGCTGAGAAAGGATGGCAAGAAGTAACTTTTGTAAGATCATGTATATCTGAACATGTTCTATCCTCCTAGCTGATTTATACCCTGGTTGGTTATAGAATTCTCGATTGAAAAATTCTTTTCTCGGGGCGCCTGGGTGGCTCAGTCGGTTGGGCGGCCGACTTCGGCTCAGGTCATGATCTCGCAGTCCGTGAGTTCGAGCCCCGCGTCGGGCTCTGTGCTGACAGCTCAGAGCCTGGAGCCTGTTTCAGATTCTGTGTCTCCCTCTCTCTGACCCTCCCCCGTTCATGCTCTGTCTCTCTCTGTCTCAAAAATAAATAAATGTTAAAAAAAAAAAAAAATTTAAAAAAAAAATTAAAAAAAAAGAAAAATTCTTTTCTCTAAGGATCCTGACAACATTGCTGTATTATTATCTAGATTCCACGTTACATTATTCTTCCTGATCTGTGTGAGTGTGTGCGCGTGCGTGCACAAGTGTGCTGTTTCTCTCTCTCTTCCCCTTCCTCCCATCCCCTTCCCCTGAAGTTTTTACTATCTTCTGTTCTTGGAATTCTAAAATTTTCATTCCTTGTCCTAGGAAGTCAGGTACCTTCTTATTCTGGAAGTTCAAGTTCCTTCAATTTTCAGATATTTTCTTATTTTGTTGATAATCTCCCTTCATCATTTTCTTTGTACTCTCATTGTCCATTTCCTTCTCTTGTTTTTCTTTCTAGGATTTGATTGACTTTATTTTCCATATTTTTTTTCATGTTTGTTTATTTTTGAGAGACAGAGCGTGAGCAGGGGAGAGGCAGAGAGAGAGAGGGAGACACAGAATCCAAAGCAGACTCCAGTCTCTGAGCTATCAGCACAGAGCCCGACATGGGGCTGGAACCTACGAACTGTCAGATCACGATCTGAGCCAAAGTCAGATGCCCA